CATGTAGAGGAGGTGACTGATTGTGGCCCCTTTCTTGAGGCGGTATCCGTAGCCAGTCTTGTTGATGATTTGGCTGAGGGGTTCATATAAAGGGTCCTCCAGTTCATTCTGAAAAGAGATCAAAACAGGCAGAACTGAACAGACTTTTCAGACTTTTGATTTTGTGCAAAAAATGTAATGAACATGAAAACTGTTCTCTTTCAGCTTCAGGAAGCATGTCAGCTCAGGTCAGACTGAGGCTGCTGCCCAGTGCCAGGTGTTTATTTGACGAGCCGGTTCAGGTGACGGTGGCCGGACTGAGGTCCAAGCAGGTGGTCACCTTGAGAGCCAGATCCACCGACGAGAGAGGAGTGGCGTTCAATTCCTCGGCCAGCTACCGCGCCGACGGCAGAGGGGAGATCGACCTGAACAGAGATGCCTCGCTCAGTGGGAGCTACGTCGGGGTCGAACCCATGGGTCTGCTGAGGTCACTGAAGGCAGATGCCTTGCACAAATATTTCTATAAGAACAGAGCATTGGAACCTTTCATGGTGAACTTCTCTGTGCATGAGGAGGAGGGCGGGATGCTGGCCGAGGCGACCAATGAGAGGCGTCTCATTGGAGATGGAGTCAGGCGAGTTCCTGTCAAAGAGGGCAACATTCAAGGAGTCCTGTTTACCCCGCCAGGTATTAATGATGACCTCATTAAGTATTTTAATTAGCATTATCCATCAGAACCTAAACAGTTTTTTACTTATCTTCACTGCAGACTTTCTATAAAGAACATAAAGTATGATGAGTTAACAGATGCACCAAAGGTCAATTTAAAAATGTGTCTGAGCTGCAAACATTGTTTTGAGGGGACGTATTATGCAAAGTTTACATTTTGCATACTTTAGTGCTTCCATTTGGGTTTCATCTGCTTGTAAAAAAAAACATCCAGTCTGTCTTTGGCAGTAAATTTATGTTTTTTGGTGTCTAAAAAGTGCGCTATTTCAAAAACATTTTGAATGTAACATCACAAATCATCTGGCACTGCCTGTCATTTCGCAAAATAGGAAGAGCTGAACAGAAGTTTTTTTAAAGAATATCTACGAATGATTTTGTCCAAAAAATGCAATGAACATGTTTTGTGTAGCCTGCAGACTTATCCTAACCTGGTCAAGGAAGCATAATAGGTCACCTTTCATAGGCAAACAGACTTTTACATTTTAATAAATGAGTATTTAGCATCCTTTTGTTTTCTTTTTGATTTTAGGAGAGGGTCCATTTCCTGCTGTGTTGGATCTGTGCACCTTCATGTCAGAGAAAAGGGCCTCTCTGCTGGCCAATAAAGGCTTTATAGTTCTTGCTTTACCCGTGTTCACTGACAAACCCAAATTAGAAAGGATGAATCTGGATGACTTTGAAG